CAATTTTCATCTAAATATTGACGTTATTTCAGAAATTATTTGGAAAAATCCGAAATAAAAATGAAACTTCTACACCCTGTATCTCCGAAACGAAGCATTTTAGGACATACATTTATACAAACTTTTTTACTTATTTTTATCTGCAGAATATTGAAGTCTCCCGAAAATAGTTCGAACTACCCTGTATGCCCCAGTACGTTTTTTTCTTAATAAAAAACGATTCTAGTGTGTGTATTTTGATATTTCCGTAATTTTAGTTTATTTTTCGTCCCAAAACAAATAAAAAGAACACTATCGTTGACTCACTGATAAAACCAATTAAATCTTTGTCCATAATTTGTCTCTCAAATGCCATTTGTCCTACACTTAGATACACAGAGACCCAATAACGTGTAAGTAATACAATCAGCTATAAGAGCCATTCAATTGATTGCTGGCTGAAATTGTTTATGTTGCCCTGAATGCAGTCAAGAACAATGACCCATTTGGTCAAACGATCGCATTGAGAAGTCCTGCATCCAGAGACGCGCCTTTGTATTTAATTAACTTGATAAGGATTAATTATCTTATGTAATTGTTGTTTGTTAAGACACTGTTAGGAATATAGAGGGCGGGACTTATACAGGGTGTTTCAAAACAAATGCGAAAAACTTCAGGGGGTGATTCCTTGTTCAAAATAAAGGGTAGTTTGCTTTATAAACGTTGGGTCAAAAGTCAACCATTAGGGAGATATCGTGGTACAAAGATGGCGGAAAAATAATGTTTTTATTTTTTATCTTGAAACCGAAAAGAGATAGACTAATGAAATTTTATGGAAGCATCACTGTTATGAAAACACACTTTCAGGTAATTTTTTTACTTTTTTAAAATGAGTGGAAGGGGTTGAAATAAACTACTAGAAAAATCTTATCAAACACATGCAAATGCTTTAATTTGGATAGTTTAGTTTGTTTAGAAACTTTTTTACCTCTTGTGTTTTTTTGATAAAACTCACCGATTGGAAATTAAAAAATAAAATGTAAAGCATTACATGTCAGGACAAAAAACATTTTTAGATTAAGAGTCTAGTGATAATAACGATAATAATAATCATCTAAATAATAACGTATTGCAGTAGAGTAATGTCAAATAAAATAATATTAGGAACATCCTAAAAAGTAACAGCGGCCGACTAGATTTTTTCCTAAAAAAATTACAGCAGCCCACTAGATTCTTTATCAGAAAATGTTTTTTGTCATGACATGTAATGCTTTACATTTTATTTTTTAATTTCAAATCAGTGAGTTTTATCAAAAAAATACAAGAGATAAAAAAGTTTCTAAACAAACTAAGCTATCCAAATTAATTTTTTTGCATGTGTTTGATAAGATTTTTCTTTAAATTTCGTTAACAAAAATGATGGGGTAGTTTATTTCAACCCCTTCCACTCATTTTAAAAAAGTTAAAAATTACCAGAAAGTGTGTTTTCATAACAGTAATGCTTCCATAAAATTTTATTAGTCTATCTCTTTTCGTTTTCAAGATAAAAAATAAAAACATTATTTTTCCGCCATCTTTGTACCGCAATATCTCCCTAATGGTTGACTTTTGACCCAACGTTTATGAAGCAAACTACCCTTTATTTTGAACAAGGAATCACCCCCTGAAGTTTTTCGCATTTGTTTTGAAACACCCTGTATAAGTGCAATTATTTCGACCGCCCGTGGTAAATAAACATGTCTACATGAGGTTTTTGTCTAAAAATTTTTAAAAATTGGTATATTTCGATAAAAAAATATATCTTTTTTATTTTTAGTTTAACATTTTTACTATTATCTAATGTTGCCATATTATCTTGAAAATCCAGTGGACTTATTTGAAAAACGATAAAAAGAAAATGTATTTAATATCAATTAAACTTTTAGTTACGTAATCGAGGGCGCGATTTTTAAATTCATTGTTGCCAACCATGGACATATTCGGCGCCGGGCTGACTAACTGGAATTTAAATTTCGCGCTGGGAATTCAGGTGGGAGTAGGGGTGGATGGGGAAGTGGAAACCGGCCCGGGAATAACAGGCATCCGGCCCAAATCCACAAAAACAAAATGACCATAACGAAGAAACATAATTTATTTATTAATATACAGGGTGTCCCAGAAATAAGTGAAAGTTTTTTAAGTGGTAGTATATTTTGGCTTGGAATATCAGTTTTTTTTGCGAAAATTTGGAATTTTTTGAAGAAATTTTTGGGTTTTGAAATGGGTTTTAAATTAAGAAAACATAATTTCTTGATAATCTCTCAACATAGGTAGTAAATTTACTTCCTATTCAATACAGATTTTCCCACGGTATGGTTCTTAATCTTTTATATTACGGCACAAAAGAGATGCAAATACAGAAAGATTTAGGTGGTTTTGGACTTTTTGAAAAAATAAATCACTTTTTATTTTCAAAAATTCAAACTTTAATAACTCGGTTATTTTGGACTTATTTGAAACACAGTAAAGAGAATATTTGCACAAAGCAGCACAAATACAAAGGTGCACTTATAGACTCACCTTGTATAATAAAACATTTCAAATGGAACAACAAACAACAGATGTTTATTAAAATTATAAGTGTCTCAGAGGAAGACATCTAACAATAGTTATTTCACAAATTGGTGTTTATGTTTTAAAAGCAACTAACGATTATATTGATGCAAATTGATTATTTTTAGGCAGTCACTAAGAATCTTACGTATTGTTTTAGTTAGAAGATTAACCATTTAATTTTTGATAAATCAATCTTTTTGAGCTCTGATCGGGATCGGGACCGGCCCACCGGCCCACCAGTCGGGAATTGTTTCCCGTTTTCCCATATGGCCCATCCACCCTTGGGTGGTAGCTCTGGAATAAAAATGTCAAGTAGCCACATTTATTTATTTATTTCCTGACTTTTGTCGTTCGTTTTGTCACTTTAGTTTTGTATTACGAGTAAAAATGTTTACTAGCAGACCTTTCAGTCCAACATTATTCTTTTAGAACCTCTTTTAGTGTGAAATGTACAAGACAACTTAACAGCCGTAAAAACTCATTGCAACTCTCATAGAAATAATGTCGTTGAGCAGGAAAGCGGTAGTAATGGCCCCTTTATGTCCATTAAGTGCTGTTAAGAAGGTGAGTTTTGTTGATAATTGTTATATATTTATAATAATTAATTTATTTTTGTTTTCTAAAATATTTTTGATTAAAAAAGAAAATATATCAAAGCTTGAATTACGTCACAAAAAAGTTTATTTGGTATGAACTGTATGATTCTTTTATCGATATTTATCAGCCTTTTATTCAAAGTTTCACGAGTTTTGAAACAATAATTGTTACCGCTGCAGGATACTAAAATTGAAGCTTGATAAAAAAACCCAGGCTATATTACTAAATGTGGCGGAAATTGTAGAAACGCGTGAAAACTCTGTCGAAATAGCAGCTGGGAGCGGAAAATCTGCACACCGCCGTTTATTACCTAAGATGAAATCGTTGCTTGAGTAGAATTCAGCATAACTTCCGCACAGGCAGCTACCTAGGGTCTGCTTTATAGAGCTTTTTCAAGGTTTCGCCTTGTCAAAAAGAAAACGACATTTTAAACAGGTGGATTCAGTTTACAAAAAGCTTTAGAGCCCATTTCACTATAGTCCGAAAAAAGTAGTAAAATAACCGTTCGCGCGGCATTTAACGTTTTAAGTAAAACTGGCTTAGGTATTTTTACACAAATGAAGAAGGAAATTAAAGATAAAGGATCCTTCTTTATTTTTAAGGTTTTGATGGAGACTTCTTTATTTTTAAGGTTTTGATGGTCAAACATCAACAAAAAATTCCTTATGTTTGGACTAAATTTTCTCGAAAATAAAGCCATAATTTAAAATGCCGTTACAATACGGAAATAGAGTGAGGTTTTGTGATTACAGTGATATATAATTTATAGTGTTTTGTAACAAATTGCTCGCTATTTTATGCCAAATGCTGAGCTCATGTCAAACCATAATCAAGCCTTAATCAAAGATTCGTGTTACAAGAATTTTAGGTATGGCTTTTCACGACAGGTCCGGCTAGGCCTTAGGTAGATTTCGCGCGGCATATAAATATTTTAAGTAAAACTGGCACAGGTATTTTTACCCGACCGTATTGTAGCACATCCGTATTGTAGCACATCCGTATTGTAGCACATTTTTAGACTTCTTTATTTTTAAGGTTTTGATGGTCAAACATCAACAAAAAATTCCTTATGTTTGGACTAAATTTTCTCGAAAATAAAGCCATAATTTAAAATGCCGTTACAATACGGAAATAGAGTGAGGTTTTGTGATTACAGTGATATATAATTTATAGTGTTTTGTAACAAATTGCTCGCTATTTTATGCCAAATGCTGAAGCTCTGCAAACCATAATCAAGCCTTAATCAAAGCACGTGTGTTTAGAATTTTAGGTATGGCTTTACACGACAGGATCGGGCTAGGCCTTAGGTAGATTTCTGAAATATAATATATATTTCCTTCGGCCACACACCCGCTTTACCCGACCCCTGTTAACGACCCGAAAGTACAGCATATAAACAATGGTACAGCGTAATATACTTACCTAAGACGAAGATTGACTTTGATTTATTTTTTATTGGTTGATTTATTTGTTATGTTTCTTACACAGCCAATTAACAGAAGTCAATCAAGTCAATCTCCGCCTTTATATATTTTTTTTAGATTTTTATTATCATTATTTCAACAGAAATATCAATTTTTTAAAAGCCTTGTAAATGATACGATTCAAGAAACCTCTGTTGCCGAAATCGTACCATTATAGGCTTCCTATATCTTCCTTGAAGTTTACACATTAATTAGTTAGTAGAAAAATAAGAGACGAAATAATTGTCTATGTTGGTTTTATTTCAGTTTTTTTACATATTTATATTTAACATTATTTTGTCATATTAATTTTATTTCATTAGTATAACAGGTTCGACTTTTTATGTAAAAAGTCTAACAATACACATGTAGAAAACTAAAATACACATGTAGAAAACTAGTATAAGTATATTTATAACAAAACAGATGCGTTAAAATAACAAAACATAAAGGTAATACAAAACAAATCTTAAGCGTAAAAAGGTATAAAAATTTTACAATAGTCAGTAAGTGGTTATAAATTCAATAAAGAGCATAACCTTGATCTTTATTCATATTCGAGCCTTTTGTTTCATAGTTTTGTTCTTATTTGATTTTATGATATAACAGACATTTGTAAATTACAATTTTTTGGGGATAATGACTTCAAAAAAATAAGTTCTTAATTTAAATATTAACTTATAAATGAAATGTTCATATCTATACATAGCTACAAGCAATAGAAAATAACATACTGTATAATCAATTATAAATAACAAATAAAACAATGTAACAAATCCAAAAAATATTATTAGCTAACATTCATTCTAAGAAATTATGTTAATACCGAGTGTTTTTCAAAGGGTATCACCCCTATAACTTTCTTATTTTTTCAGATAAAAAACGAGGTTTGGTAAGTTAGTATATGACAGTTATTGTCACTCTAGATTGAAATTTAAAACATCATTTCCTAAGCAAAAATAACTTCTAAAAAATGTGTTAGTTCTTTAAAGACAATGTTTATATTTTTTATTTTTCTATACATCTAAAACAGACTGAGATATAAATATAAAATAAAAATAATAATCCGAAAAATAATAAATCTCACTTTTAAAAACGATATACAGGGTGTCCCAAAAAAATCTTCCGACCCAACCGGAATTTTTTCGCTTTTCAGGTGGCATTTTGATCAGCATCAACTTGAGTACCATTTATGAAGCTCGAATTTGGGACACCCTGTACACATCTCACTCAATCATCTCTTAATCGTCCATAACTAATACTACATTGAAAAATTTTATATCTTATTAAATAATCACAAATTTTTATAACTAAATTAGAAAACAAATAATAACAGATCAAATTCTTATACTTATACAATATAATAAATATTTTTCTTGTATACCTTTTGCTGGGTTTGCAATTGCAAAATTAATATTCACAATTCTTTAGAAAAAATTAAAACTATTAAATATTAATTTTAAAAATTTTTACCATAAACTCATACTCTCCTACCAAACTTACTATTTTTTGTTAATTTACCACTGCCGTCAAAAAGAATGGCCAAAATTTGACCAATAGAAACACCCTGTACAATTTGATCCTGATTCTTTGACACTCTCTTTCATATACAACTATAGTAAAAATTTATTAAAATAGATTAAATAAATATTCATTTTTTTTTGTTAAATTATTTTAAGATTCTGTTATGTTTTTGTGCCCTATACTGATTAATTTTAATAACAACTATCATTTTACTAAAATCTACCTATAACAGAGTCAAAGCTTTAATATAACTACCAACAATATTGGTTTATCACAGATACACACATTTTATATTACTAGGATAGTACTAATATTTGAAAATACACTTGAAAAAAAATTATTTACTCATCCTGTATATGAATTTCACTAAGAATAGCCCAGTTATCACTGTCAGAATGAATGTACAACCTCAAAGTTCTTATTTTACCAAGTACTTCATCAACAACTCCGCTAGCTATACCAACAGAATCGAATTTACCTACAAGCACATACCCATCGCTGGTCAAATTATATGCCAATTTTGTAATATTTCTGGGCATTTCAACTGGAAGAACTTCGACAGTAGTGTTGTAGAATTTATCTGCCGGATGGTCTGCGTTTCCGCTCCTGAAATAGTACCGTTTTAGAAGTACTGGTGAGCTGAAAGTAAAGGTTAGTTGATCGTCAGGCTGGGGTAACAACCCCCAGAAAAAAGTTTCACCTAAATAAGCTCGTTTAAGAGTGTACTGTTTGTAATGCTTAATGCTTGAAGTAACATCGGCTTCAGGATTGTTATGAGGTATAAATAAGGGAACTTTACCAAACTGCTTGTCTTTGAGTTTCTGCATTTTTCCTTTCAAAGAGGAATGAGTACCGATATGTTGAAACAGTGATGGTTTGTATCGAATCCATAATTTAGCTTTCTCTTTCTTGCAAACGTCGTTATTTTTTTCATAGTTACAAATTTTAGTGTACAAAAGATGATCCAGTAACCAATCTACAGGTTTATCGTTGTAAAACATCTGGAAAAATGTTATTAACCATGGCAGTTCTGCACTTTTAAACATCTTCCCTATAAATCCCAATTGACAGAAATCCAGAACAAACCAGGGTTCCTTCTTTGATGTTTTATCCAAGGCAAAATTTTTCATCTCAGTTACATACTGTGGTTTAGCTAATATATCATCTTCCAGCTGCACATAAAAGGTTCCTTTAGGCTGAGCGTAAGACATCAGAAAGGCAAAATCTAAATTCTGCTTGGATCTCCACTTAACCCTTTCTCTGGAATCTCCTAGAGTTAGTCTTAATTTTTCAAAGTCTGGATAATAGGAAGGTGAAGGTGATATAACCTCAATTAATCCAGACTCTACTTGAGCAGGGTAACGTGTTTCAATTTGTCTTGCTACATGCAACACATATTGTAAGTCAGTCTCCGCAACAAAAACAACAATCAAAGTGTCATTAGCCTCAGCTGAGTTCATTCCCTCTAACAGGTTCTGTAAGGTGTCCATAAGATAACTTTGTTTTTCTCTCTTAACTGTAGGTATACCCATGACTAATGATACACCTGCTCGACCTTTAGACAACATATATGCTAATCTTAAACTAAATGGGTCATCTAGCAAATGTGGCAGAAAGTAATAGGATGTAGAAAACCTCACTACAAAAGATGGATTTATACCATAAGCTGCGTTGAGTCCTGTCATATTCTTCACTAAGTGTTTAACATCGTTTGTGAGGCTGGTATTTGGATTAACCAAAGTGACCCCAGTTGAATTCTGAGAGAGCAAAACAACATCAATGTATTCAGTCAATTTTTGTAGGTCCTCCTGACGAATTCTGTACACTGAATCTAAATACTGAAGTCTAATTTGTAGCTCGGCTAGTCTTTGAACTAGTAATTGTTCAGTGTTTACGTCTGGAACAGAGAACAAAACAAACAGGCATAATGGAACGAATAAAGCAAACCCCAAAATCACGAAGCAGTTGCGTCTTCGCAGTGGTGAAGCTGGTAAGTTTAGCGTCATTTTGTGGTGATGGTGACTCGATTTTTAGAACATTGCAACACTCCAGACACACACATAAAATTGCCCGCAATAATCTACCAGTACATCACAGACGTTTAGATACAACAGAAATTTAAAACCAGTCTGTTTTTCCTTATTAAAACTTGTTCGATACATACATATGAGAAATCAAATTAATCAAATCTAAAAAGGGAATATTTTCAGTCAAATTTTTTACAGTTATATCATTTGAGGTTATGTAAAATCTGACAGCTCAGAGCAATAAATAATACAGACCTTGTGCTTATTTACTCTATGCCTCATCTCATATACTTATGGATCATATATATTTTCGTATATGATAAAAGGGTTTAATTTCTGGCTTTTCATGTACTAGGGATGGGCGAGTAAAAAAACTATGGAAAAAAATTGTTTTTTATGAAATGAATGTTTTTCTGAAAGAAAGGACATCCCTGGTTGTATAATTTAAAAGTGTGATCTGTTATTCTACCGATATTTAATATAAAAAATAACTGTGACAAATTCAAAGAATGTATAATGTATTTTTAAATAGTTAGGCAATATTTAAGAACTATTGTTTGGTATATTTTAACTATTTTTAATTTTAAGAATCTAAAAAATAAAAACATCACAAACAATTGTCAACAAAAAAATCACATAAAAAAGTCTTTATTCTGCATCTTCTAACCCTGCCTCTCTTCTCTTCAACATTATCTCTAGTTCTAATAAAACCATTTTCCTCTGGTGTTCAGCTTTTGCTCTCCTTTCTTGGTTGATCAAAATTCGCCTTTTCAATTGCATATTCCTCATTCTATATTTGTGCTCGGCTAGTGCTCTTTTCTCATCTTTGTCTAATCTATCTATTTGATTCTTAACTAGATTCAAACGAGGCCTGTTCGCCATATCATTGGGTAAATCCCACAAAACATCCTCGTCGGTTATTACAAACCTGTCATCTTCCAAAGTAAACTCTTCAATTTCAATGGTGTTCTGAGTGTTCGAAGCAGAAGACTCCGTCTTTATGTTATTATTTAATGGTTCTTGTGATGTTTCTAAAATATCATATTCTGTTGTTCCATTAGTATTACTTCCATTCGCCTCAAGAAACTTAAGGAGTTGTTTTTCATAATCCTCCATATCAATAAAGTCTGGAAATAGTTTTTTCTCCTCTTGTTTATTTTTAATTGCTTTTCTTCTAACTATTTTCTTAATGCTTTCATATTTTTGCCTCAATCTATCAGCAGTTCTCTTAATATTACCTGAAATAATTCATCGTTACTAAACGAAATAATCTAAAATGTTACAAACCTTCAACGGAATTAAAGTTTTGAGTAATATTATTCCAGACGATGTTTTTCACTTTCCAGGTTTCAGAATCTGTCTTTTTGTTTTCTACCATGTCTATATGATCGAAGACGAATTTCATCAAAACTTTTGTTTCTCTGTCGGTAAAATTAGGAGATCTTTTCCTTTTCGCAGATGTAGGGTCAGTCTCGGTGTTAGGGTCTACCATGCTAATGCCATAGACGACTTTAATTAGAAAAATACTGAAGAGATAATGCTATAAAATTATGCGTAAGGGTGAAAATACAAATACAAACAAGTTTTTACTGTTTTTAGATAAACAAACAGAAAAATTGCAGGTTATAAAACCACAGATTAAATAAAAGATAATAACTAAGAATGGGCAACAATCAAAATGAATCGATTAAATCAAATCGATTTGAATTTTTTCAATAATCGATTTGAAAAAATAATTGGCGAATTTAAATCGATTCATGCAATTTATATTAGAATCGAATAAACAAATCCACAGCAAATACTATAGCTAAGCTATACTTTTCGCAGAGAGTATTTATTTTTTGCTCTGCTTTGCAATCGATTCGATTGTGACCATCCCTAGTAAATCCTGCTTCGCAGTTTCTATTTTTTTGTCTATGGCTGACATAAAATTGAAATCGCTTTTAAAAACGTCAAAAAATCCTGCAATTTGACCTTGGATTTTGACAACTAACCCTTAATTTATTGTTTGTAGGAAAAAAAATTGTTTTTAATTTATTTTCAGTCCAAATACGAAATTTTTGAAGTTTATATTATGATTTAATCAATTTGTTTCCCTTTAAACTGTGACAAATTTTATCTGCGTAAGAACTTCTTTATTTCTCTGTGAAAATGATATTTTTTAAACCTGCCTGGATCAATCATGAAGGTAAAATATGTATTTCTCCTTTATTTATTAGTTTAACACGTATTTTGTGATTGTTGCAGACAACAAACCGATTTTTTCTGTCGATATACACCCGAAAGGAAACCGATTTGCTACAGGGGGTCAAGGTGGGTCAGGTGGTCGAATAGTTATTTGGAATGTTAGCCCTGTTATCAGCGAAAGCGATGAATCGAATCCTAGTATCGCTAAAATGCTATGCCAAATGGATAACCATTTGGCATGCGTTAACGTGGTCAGATGGAGCAATAGTGGACATTTCCTGGCATCGGGTAGCGATGACAAGCTTGTGATGATATGGAGATTGAGTAGCGAGGGAAGTTCATCTATCTTCGGCAGTAGTAAGGTTAATGTGGAGACATGGAAATGTATACACACCTTGAACTCACACAACGGAGATGTTTTGGATTTAGCATGGGCGCCACATGATGGGTGGTAAGATTAACAAAATACTTTCATTTTTTAACCTTCATAAACACTTAAAAATTTAAAATTCAGTAAAATTTTAAAAATTAAAACTATTTTATGTAAAAATAGTACTATCAAAATATGTATGTTTATTTAATGATATACCTTTATGTAAGAAAACATTTAAAATAGAATTAAAGGTTAATAAACAACATAATTTACATAAATTCTTTGATGTAAAACAGGTTAGCTTCAAGTAGTGTAGACAACAGTGTTATCGTTTGGAATGCTCATAAATTTCCAGAAAAAGTTGCAGTGCTTAAGACCCACACTGGCATGGTTAAGGTACAGTATTCACTTAGTATTTTAGTAGAAGTATTATGATAAAACTTATAATTTTAGGGAGTGACTTGGGATCCTGTTGGCAAATATCTAGCCAGCCAGTCCGATGATAAATCATTGAGAATTTGGAGGACATCAGACTGGGCCCAGCAAGAGGTAGTGACAGATCCCTTTCAGGAATGTTCAGCTACGACACATGTATTAAGGTATCTTATATTTGTTTTGCAGTGTAGAGATAGTGTTCTCCCCTATTGTGTTCCCCCATGCTCATTCTCTCTGGCTATATATAGTGGCGTACATATAATGTGGGGAAAAATCATGATATAATTTTTTTTTTCATATCATTACATAATAACTCAACTCATTCCTAATCCAAAAATATTTTCAGTAAGCATTTTTTATCTTATTTTTGTTCTAGAGGTTATACAGGGTTGTTCACCACATACGACACGGAGTATTGTAGCTAAACGATGAGATTTTTACAAATTGTAAGTTTTGGGTTCGATGAAGGACTATTAGAGGTACAATTTAAAAATAATTTTACAAGATACAGAGTGTCCCAAATAAGTAAAAAATATCAAAGTTGTATTTTTTTAAATGGAACACCCTGTATATTATTACATTTTAGTTTCTACGATTAAAATAAAGGTAAATTTGATTAAGGTTTATTATACTTAAACCTTACCGTTTTTGAAATATTTTCAATTTTGTGAAATTGCAGTAAAAATTTTAAGGCTTCATTTCTCCAAGGGTATCAAAGTTTTTAATACTAAATATTTACTGAAGTTTATTTATTGATCAGTTATTGTGTTGCAATAATAAAAATAATACTACCTTATACAGAGTGTCTAAAAATGTATTTTAAATAATTATTAGCTTCAAACGGCAATAACTTGTTTAATTTAAATGGAACACCCTCTATATTTTACGAGAATCAGATGCACAATTTAATTGTCTATCAAATTATATTATACCATTTTTACCTATCTCTTTAAGTTTCCGTAGAAAATGCATTTTCTTGTAATTTAGAACTTATTTATCAATATACCCATGGACTATTGACATTTTAGATTATTTTTAAAGATGTACCAAATTTTTAAAGAGTACAGATACTAATATTGTCGATATAATTCGTTTATTTCATTAAAAAATAAAAAAAAACTGTTTAAATATTTGTTAAAGAGGATCAGTTAATATGATTCCAGTATTCAAACAACATTAACTGACTGTTTGCTTTGATTAATAATAATTGCTCCAAATACTAAAAAACTGAATTTTGTATGGGCATTAGACAGTGTGATAAAAAGTAACACCTTAAAAATGATATTTCATTTTTTAATAAATGCTTATTTATAACTACAGAGACTTTAATTTGATAACTTATTATTATATTGATTTCTGACTCAAATCCACATTTATTTATAATAATTTAATAACGAACACAATTAAGTATGTAATTAATTAGTATATGGGCGCAAATAATGGTGTTATATTTAATTAATGGTATACTCTTTTATAAAGATTTAAATAGTTTTCTTTTTGCATACAAATGGGCTAGTAATATTATCGTTTTGCTAAAAACGATAATATTACTAGTCTGTACATTTTGTACATTTGTTGCTTTAAAAACAATCTAAAATGTCAATATTCCATTGATATATTGATAAATGAGGTCTAAATTATAAGAAAATGCATTTTATACGAAAACTTGAAGGGATAGGTAAAAAATGGTATAATACAATTTGATAGACAATTTAAGTGTGCATCTGACTCTCCTAAAATATACAGGGCATTCCATTTAAATTAAAGAAGTTATTGCCGTTTGAAGCTAATAATTATTTAAAATAAATTTTGACACTCTGTATAAGGTAGTATTATTTTTATTATTGCAACACAATAACTGATCAATAAATAAACTTCATTAAATATTTAGTATTAAAAACATTGATACCCTTGGAGAAATGAAGCTTTAAAATTTTTACTGCAATTTCACAAAATTGAAAATATTTCAAAAACGGTAAGGTTTAAGTATAATAAACCTTAATCAAATTTACCTTTATTTTAATCGTAGAAACTAAAAATGTAATAATATACAGGGTGTTCCATTTAAAAAAATACAACTTTGATATTTTTTATTTATTTGGGACACTCTGTATCTTGTAAAAATATTTTTAAATTATAGCTCTAATAGTCCTTCAACGAACCCCAAACTTACAATTTGTAAAAATATCATCGTTTAGCCACAATACTCCGTGTCGTATGTGGTGAATAACCCTGTATATTGAAATATATTTTTGAATACCTTCTTTATGTGTAAGAAAGAGATAGAATAAGAAGTAACGCGTCATTTAATACCGTCGGTGGCGACTGCGCAGTGATGCCAAATCTGGGAATTTTTCCCTCAATTTAGAGTAAAAAATTATTATATTGATTACTTATGCTATTGTCGCGATCTAGCTTTGGGGTGTGAGGTTCTAGCTAGGGTTGCTTAGGTTCCAAGTTCTCTTTTATGATTAAAGCAACATAATACAAAAAGTTCTATTTATTGAGTAAAAATTATAACATATGAGTATAGTAAAATAGGCAAACAAGCTAGGAAATTCCAAGACAGAGTGTATGCTGAGACACTTATAGACTTACTAACATCTCGGGAGTGTGCCGTCTCACTGACTAATTCAGCAACTCATTATACTCATCGACTGATTAACTGACTGCCTGTGCGTTGTCTTCAGTATACTCTTTTATATTTGTCTTCTCGTCGCAGTCATCGGCGGGTGTGTCATCAGTTTACAATATATTTCCATTGGCGATACCTGCGACGAACTTCACCTTAAATTCTCACGTTATGTCGACTTGATTTTTATTGCTTAATTAATAATGTTTATTATAAGAAAGTCTTATTTTTATTTTAAAGTCTTGACACTATTTTACTTTATTATTTTGCACAATTTTTGCCTAATTTACTTTGATTACCACTGCACGCCACCGTTTCAATATCTCTTGATTTATTTACTACAAAATTAACTGCATTTTTAATTACTTTTTTGTTACCGAATAAAAAATATAGGTGTTCATGGTCACCGGATGGTCAGTATTTGGTTTCGGCGCACGCCATGAACGGAGGTGGTCCCACAGCCCAAATCATCGAGAGAGAAGGATGGAAACAGGACAAGGACTTTGTGGGGCACAGAAAAGCCGTCACTTGCGTTGTAAATACTCGTTTGTTTTATATACAGGGTTGTGTAAAAAACGACGCGTTCATTAAAAGTATCTTAAGTTTTATAAACAATGTGTTAAGTCAGGGATATCTTAAAGGATTAAAATATTTTTCACTTCTTGAAATTTCCGGTATAACTGGAAGTGGCTGTGATTTTTCTTGTTTTTAATATCACACGATCGAAAAGAAACGGCGTCAGATATATGGAAAATGTCATCGATCGTCATTTCCAACCCAACTGGAAGCCGTTTTTTTTGGATCATACTGGAGAACCTATACACGGTGTCTCATATAAGAATAGACACTACAGGATTCTCATAAACCTGAAGGGATACAAAGGTGACTTGCTGAATCCTACAGGAAGGTATTTGAAAAAAAAAGGTTTTTTATAAAAAAAAATGTTTACATTTTGAATAACGCATCATCAACCGACTATCGGCTGGTCCCAGCTTATTTGACGCCCTCTGTGTTGCCACATAGAAAAGAAAGTGTACACTTAACTCGATTGCAAATACTTATTAATATAGGTATAAAAGAATATGCAATAACTGTTAACATTTATTCTTTCAGTTTAGTGGAAAATAACTGTAAAATTAAAAAAAGTCGGAACGTTCAACCGCTAACTTTTGCCCCACGTTGGGCGCCAAGAATGCAGTTGGCACTTTTGGAAAACACATTTTTCTTTATATCTATTTATTTTCTACTTTTTCCATTGTATTGAGGCATTTTGGAGGAGTTTTATACTACAATTTAAATAAGCAGATCCAAGAAAATATATACCTTAAATTTTGACAATAACATTTTTTTATTATTTTTCACTGCTCTAACAATCATCATCGAATACAATGATGAAAATTTTCTTTTTGTTTTCCGTCTTCCCGTCAAGGCAAAGCGCCAAATTCAAAGTTAAGCTAGAAATGAGCAGATATAACAGAGATGTGTGCGCTAAAAAAATAACAAGGAAATATTAGTAACGCCACTGGCTTATTAAAATTTAATCTTCGTAATTTGTTATGTAAAAATTTAAATTACTCTGAACTTATAAATACGCAAATATACAGAATGTTAGTAACGGAAGAGGTGGCAACATTGTAAAGCTTCGCCCAATACACCCTCAAGAAATTTTAAGAGAACGAATCTGCGACATTAAAAAGGAAAATGTCAAGAAAAAAACTTTTGTGTTTCGGAATACACTATCGTTTATTAAACTGGAAATTATTTAAAATACACCGCTGTATACTAAAACACGAGATTACTTTTAATGAACACGTTGAGTAATATACCCTGTATAAATTGACGTACGGTATATTTAGTCATTTTTCAGAGGTTCAATTCGAATATCCTAAAGAAACCTAACGCAGACAGTCCGAAAAAAACCACTCAGTACTGTTGCTGTGCCATCGGGTCACGAGATAGGTCTATCAGTGTATGGTTAACCTCACTTAAGCGCCCCCTGGTCGTTATTAAGGACCTGTTCGATGACAGCGTGTTGGACATTTCGTGGAACGCTGCGGGAAATTTTCTGTTGGCCTGTTCCTGGGACGGTACAGTGGCGTGCGTCACTTTCGGACAGAGCGAAATCGGCATACCCCTTTCAGTCGATGAAAAGGTACGAATGAATATCAAGTACAAAAAATGTTCAGAGAATTAAGTAAGCATAGAGGAGTTAAAATATTTGTTGACGATAGCGTGTCTCTATGTTAACTTATTTCTCTGAGACCAAAACGATTCCAAATATTAAATAAAAACGAATTTTAGAACGCTCTTTATGAAAGGATGTACCACAAGTCATTGCAGAACAGTTGGAATACGAATTTTAGCGGTACCCAAATTGTTGAAGACGCGGAACTGTTATGCGCCATCGACGAAATGAACGAGAAATCGAAGGAAGTGGTTTTGGAATTACCGGAAATCAAGGAACCGCCTAAGGCGAAAGATGTGTGTTACGAAAGTCCAATGCCCAATCAGAATCTTTTGGTACCGATCAACAAACAGGTATTGATATGTACAGATTCTTTTTATAACTAGAGATCGATTGTTATTTAATGATTTATTATTTTGTAACTGTTATTTGTGTATAACAGTCCTCAATAGTTGTTGATTTCGAAAAATAACAGTGCGCTGCGATACAAAATTTTACGTAGCCTTTGAGTAAGCGAGTGGTGTGTTATTTTTTTTTAATTTCGAATGCGTAGGTAACAGTAGCCAATTTATGTTGCAGAAATATAACTGTTATGGGTTTTAGATATGGGTAGGCCCTTTTTATAACGAGGCGCCGATCGTTATTTAACGGTCTGCTATATTTTGTAACTGTTATTTACGGATAACAGTTGACAACACTTGTTGCTCCTTAAATAGTTGCTCCTTAAATAGCGAGTGAGTGTTTCTTACTTTTTATTTCTAACGCGTAGATTACAGTCGCGAATTTAGAAATATAACTGTTATAAACCTATAACAGCCATATATCGGTATATAATATCTCTACTTATTTTTGTTCTTTATTGTTATTGAAGGTTCCCTGTTATTTTAAGCTGTTATTTTTGAACTGAGTTTATTTTTTTTGGAACTGTTACATATATTTGCTGTAACAATGTTTTACTTATGTTTTTCAATTATTGATGATTACATCAAATTTTTAAAATATTTTTGAACGATTTTTGAAAAAGTTTTCACTAAGATTCCTTCTAAAATATTAGGTGTCTTTTTTTAGGTGGAAACCAGGCTTCCTTCTGGGAAACGAAGAATAACGCCCATGTTACTGACCACAGTTTCACCATCTCCCACTACTAATGGCACTTCAAATAACTTATGGTAAATAGCATCATATATGAATTAGATAAAAAAATTAACGGAAAATATACAGTGCCTGTATAAACTAGTTTTTTTATTATTAGAGAATTTTTTTTAGAAAAATTGTCAGTTTATGTTTTCATATTTTATTTTTTAACAGGATAAATACGGAATCCACGCAGTTTTTTTCGCAATCGGCTGCGTTCAGCAAGTCTTCGCCCACTAAAAGTCAAATAATCGTCGAAACTAGAACAGAGCCTCAAGCCAGGCCTGCTCCAGTAGCGCAGCCCAAACCTGTCAGGTATTTTCTTATTTATTTATTTTTAATTGTTTTCCTGACCGACAAAAAAAATAATAAAAGAGTTATTAAGTATTTTTCCCATTTTTGTTTAAATGGAAAAAGAGGCTGTTCAACAAGAGGATCTATATGTCCATCATATGTACAATATGATCGAAAAAAAAACGTCAGCGGTGGATATGCCATTATGTAAAATTATATGGGGAATGTCATCGATGTTCATTTCCAAGCCAACGAGACGCCGTTTTTTTTTTCGATCATAATATAACTAATACTCTCCTATAAGGCTAGTAAAAACTTTAAAACATTTGCCAAGAGTGCGACGCGACGGCAACAACATACATAATGCTGTAAACAGGCGTAGATAGAGTATATTTCAATGAATATACTCAATTTATTACAAGGGTACTCTTATTACATGCGGAAATCGTCACCCAAAGCCGGCCGTTGCCAACATGGTATACCAGCCTTATAGGAGTATTACTTATATGCATTTTTATATACCATAACTTTTATCAAATTGATTGATAATTTGATTTTGCAATGTGTAATTCAACAGTCAGCAGAAGGTTCAAGTGTCAGAAACTGTCGTCTCTAAACCACCCGGTTCCGAAATCAATCAGCTGATGTGCGTCGACGTTCCTGGTGACGAACCCATCACGAAATTTATCAGTATTTTGGATCCTTGCAAGTTCACACCTGGTACCACTGTTACCAAAGACGCGGGAATCCTTAAAGTTCAAGTACGACAACCTATAGTTATCTTTATTACAATAAATGCTATATATGCCTGCTCTACTTCTGTATACCGTATGATCGAAAAAGCGGCGTCAAATTGGCTTGGAAATGGCTGTCGATTACAGTCACCGTTAATTCTACGTTTAAAATGAACGATCTTTATTTTCGAGTCAACTCTGACGCCGATTTTTTTTCGCTCTTTGGGTACATACTTTATCAACTCTAAGATTTTTATTAATATAGAAAATAACTGGTTAAAAAATCACATTTTGTAAGGATATTTTTTGCTGATATATTTTATATTTATATATTTTAGGTAACAAATAATTGCCATAGAATTACCAACAATCTGTCTTTGTCAAAAATAGAAGTATGCAAGAAATCGTCTGAATCAAAGGAACCTATTTGGGAAACATTTTTAGGTAGGAGTTAATTATTAATTAGTTATCTTTGATTGATGTTACCCTTAGTTTTATATTTTTGGAATGTTTAAGTTTAAATATAGTCTAATTGATCCAAGAGCTATCAGATAAGTCAACATATTTTATTTTAGGATCACAAATACGCACTCTGGCTACAAATCGCAAACTTTTAGTGGCTTGTTGTGAAGATTTAACAGTAAATACCTATGATCTAAAATCTGGTAAGTTCTATTTTATCATTCTTGTTTATTATACATCATTTTTACGATCATATCATAAATACCATTAGAGATTCATTTTAAAATATTTTTGTTAGTATTAAGATGTCATGAATCATCATGTATCTTATTTTCTCAGGTGCCAGATCTTTACCCCCTCTATTAATTGAAGATTTGGTTTCGTGTTTAAGTCTTTCTGAAAAGGGGCATCTTTTGGTTTTAACCAAGACTGGTCTGATGCACATGTGGGACCTCTGCCAATCAAAGAGCGTGCTCAATCGGGTGTCAGTTCGATGTTTGCTGATCGGAAAAGGTAAGTTTATTTGGGGTGTTCTATTTTTGTTTTTTAGCAGGATTTTAGTAAATATTTACTGAAAAATATATTTTAAATAGAGACTAGTTGTTATTTATTTATCAGTCTTTTATTTGAGAACTGTTATTCAGAAATAACAGTTGTTGCTTTCTAAAAATGTGATATCAAAATAACAGTGCTCCGACAGCGATAACTCACGATGTGTAAGACGGGATAGTCGCAATTTTACCACCGAGCCACTGTTATTTTTTATTTTCTAATATGCAACAATGCAGTTGTTGTGCAGACGGGTTTCGAAAATAACAGTTACCGTGTCAGTGTCAAATGGTGGTGTGAAATCAATAAAAATATCGGTAACGTATTATTTTCCAACTGTTACCAGTGAGCCGTTGTTATTTCTTATTTTCTAATATGCAACAGTTGTGTAGACGGGTTTCGAGTGTAACAGTTACCGTTGTCAGAACTTGGATGGGTCTGTGTCTAATGGTGGTGTAAAGTCAATAAAAATAATGAAAACCTGTTATTTACAACAGTTATATTTAGAAATAACAGTTTGTGAAATAATTGCTACTTTAAAGAATAAGGGGTATTAAAATAACAGTGCAACGACAAATTGCGATGTGTAGTTAGGATAACCGCGTTACGAAATTTTACCAGTGAGCCATTGTTATTTCTTATTTTCTAATATGTTATAACTAACTGTATAATAACAGTTGTGTAGACGGGTTTCGAGTGTAACAATTGTTGTCAAAACTTCAACTTGGGTGAAATGGGTCAAAAAAATATTTGTCAAATGGTGGTGTAAAATAAACAAAAATAACGGAAACCTGTTATTTTACAACTGTTATTTAGAAATAGCAATTTGTGCAACAATTTCTACCATAAAAAATAAGCGATATTAAAATAGCAATGCGTGGACCACTGAAAATGTGTAGTTAGGATAGCCGTGTTAGGAAATTTAACAGTGAGTCGTTGTTATTGTTTATTTTCTAATATGTAACAGCGATTGTTACAACTGTTGTATAGACGGGTTTCTAGAGTAACAGTTGCCATTGTGAGAACTTTGATAGGTCGGTGCTAAGGGTGGTGAAAAAACAATAGAAATAACTGATTTTTTTTTCAACAATAACAGTTCCAACTGTTATTTATCAGCTGGAACTTATTAAGTATAGGCCACATTTTTTCCTATCGCTGATTTGAAACAAGATATACATAGAACTGAAGTACGCCATTTCGGAACAATACGCCTACAATATCTAGAGATACCTTTTTTGTGACAGTATTCTTCTATACAGGGTGTCCCAGAAATAAGTGCAAGTATTTTAAGTGGTGGTAGATTTCGATAAAAGAAACATATTTTCTCTATATCGTTTTTCAAAAAATCGAGTCCGAAATAACGGAGTTATTTTACCTTGAAAATTTCCAAAAAAAATTGGTAATTTTGGTAAAATTTTGAGAACCACTGGATCTTTTCTGGATTTTTTTTGTTGTAAATTTGTGAAGTCTCCTCTGTGGAGCAGTCTCAGATACTGGCTTTTGTTAAAGCCCTGAGACTGTATGATAAGTTATAACTCGTTATAACTCAAGAAAGGGGGACACACAATGAATCTGTAAGGTCGCGGTGATAACTCCCCTTCTAAACATTCAACATTTATTCTTGTAAATTTAATCTACTACCTATGATGCCATATTATCAAGAAATTATTTTTTTTTAAATAAAAAAATTCAGAATTTTTTTCGCCAAAAAAAAATCATTGGCGTGTTTCTGGGGTTGAACTATACTACCAGTTAAAATACTTGCACTTTTTTCTGGGACACCCTGTATAAACTATTTTCTTTTTCTTAGATTTATCGTGATAATTTTGTAATTTTGGTTTATACGTTTAATTTATAATTAAGTTAAAGAAAGTTTGAATTAAACTTCGTGCGTATTTTTATAGTATTAACATATAACATTAAAAAAAACGGCGTCAAAGAGGGCTGGTAAATGGCAATCAATGATAATTTTGGCGAGGTCAATCTCTAGACGTCATTTACTAAAAATTGACATAAAACTTGTCAAACATTAACGCTAATTATAGAAATATTAAAAAAGAGTAGAACGCTTCCCCAGGCGCATAAATATATTTTCTAAAAATAATTTGTAATGAATAAAACTGTGATTTGTATTATTTTTTTCCAGCTACGGTAACTGGATGTTCTTTGACGCCATCAAATCAACCCATCTTAACCTTGAGCGATGGTAGAGCCTACTCCTATAGCCTAGATTTACAAACCTGGTAAGAAATATTATTTTTAACATTTTGAGACATCTTGTACGTTCTGTACTGTTAACAAAAATAAAAATAAATATTTGCAGGGTTCAATTGTCGAATCCTCTGGATCCGGTGAGCCGATCCGGTGCTTCCATGGTACGAAAAGTACCGCACTCACTGCCATTAGCCTCATTACAAAGGGCTATGCCCCAATATAGTCAGACTGACTCGTCGTTGCCTCCCGGCGTCACGCTCAGCTTTTTAGAATCTCAAATCACTGCCACTAATGTATTGCACAGCGTGACGGAATACCGCCATTGGTTGCTGGCACAGGTCAATCATCTGTTGGACAAAGGTACTGTCATTTTTTTGTCTAGGTCTTGAACGTAGGAAATCCCATGTAAGAAAAATTTGACATGAATGCTTTACCTTTTCTATATTTAATTTGAGGTCTAGATATTATCGTATTATTGACAAGGAGTGTATTTTTTAGGTCCAGAATGTAGACTGAAATTAATTTTAGATGATCTCATCGGTCCCACTCATTCCAGCGTGAAGAAAAGTAAACTGGATACTGAGATAATGGTAACTGTTAGTTAATACTGTCAAATAACTTATCTATTTACTCTTGGCTTACACCACAGAATATCTAGCTACGCAACAGAAGCCTCGTTACATGTAAAAAATCGTAGGTCTCAAAAGGCGACAGGCTTTTAAGGCCTGTCTCCAAATCAGATATTTTGATGCGGTAGTTTCACTACTACATAACAGAGGGCGATAAATTTAAAACAAAAAACAGTTTTCTACAAACGAAATTTAAAAGAATTTTATGCAGTGTTGCCATTGTGTAATTTATATTGTAATACTTTCTGATAAAGCCTACGTTCAAATTTGCTACATCATTTAAACATATTAAAATAGATTAGAGCTCTTTTTTCAAACATTTAAGTATTTAACTTGCCATGTTAGTTGGAGTTAAATCTTACGAGCTGAATTAAAATCACTTCCTGACGTTTGATTCTAACTGAATCCTAAATTTTGATTGTAATCGCCATGAATTGGCGACGGCGTATTATAATAATGTTGTTCTATTGAAGCACCCTTCCCTGTCGTTTCGATTATTATTCGTACCATTGTAAGTCGGAAAATTTTAACAGCGAGCGTTAGCTTGTACGTTCCGAAATGAAAATCTAAAAATAATAAATTTATATGGTTCAATTGTCGAATCCTCTGATCCGGTGAGCTGATCCGGTGCTTCCATGGTACGAAAAGTACCGCACTCACTGCCATTAGCCCGTTACAAAGGGCTATGCCCCAATATAGTCAGACTGACTCCGTCGTTGCCTCCCGGCGTCACGCTCAGCTTTTAGAATCTCAAATCACTGCCACTAATGTATTGCACAGCGTGACGGAATACCGCCATTGGTTGCTGGCACAGGTCAATCATCTGTTGGACAAAAAGGTACTGTCATTTTTTTGTCTAGGTCTTGAACGTAGGAAATCCCATGTAAGAAAAAATTTGACATGAATGCTTTACCTTTTCTATATTTAATTTGAGGTCTAGATATTATCGTATTATTGACAAGGAGTGTATTTTTAGGTCCAGAATGTAGACTGAAATTAATTTTAGATGATCTCATCGGTCCCACTCATTCCAGCGTGAAGAAAAGTAAACTGGATACTGAGATAATGGTAACTGTTAGTTAATACTGTCAAATAACTTATCTATTAACTCTTGGCTTACACCTAATCACTATAAGCATCGAATAAAAAACTACGGCTAGTTCTTGAGTGATTTATACCGTATGATCGAATAAAAACGGCGTCCAGTTGGCTTGGAAATGACGATCGATGGCATTTCCTATATAAATTTACATATAAAATGACAGCGATCTTCATTTCATAGCCATCGCTGACGCTGTTTTTATTCGATCATACGGTATAAAGTGTAATTGAAACTAGTAGTGGGAACTATCGAATGAATACTATCGAAACATTCGATAGTTGCAATTCATTCGAATAATTCGATAGTAAGAAAACATTCGTTGAAAACTATTCGAATAAAAATTATCGAATAGATCCGTCATCTGCCTTGAAATATTGTATTCTAGTAATTTGGCAGCCAAAACCATTCATTTATAAAATTCATTCATTTATGAAATTAATTTATTCGTCAGGATCGATTATAATATAATATTAACTGAATTTAGTTGTCGCCCGGCGACGTAGGTTTCTTTCCGAGAAACCCGACTTACAGAACTAATTTGTTATATTAACAACAAATTTTAAAATCATGAAATATAAACATTTATTAATTTTCTAAGCATGCAATGTAATGGAAGAAAATATAAATAAAAAATTAGAAATCAAAATTATTTATATTAGGTGCTTTATATTACTATTTAAAAATTATATTTACTTTTACTGGCATTTACTTTAAAAAATAAATTAAATATTTCTTCGCAAAAAACTACATGTAAGAGAATTAGCATAAACAAAATACAAACATCGCTAACTTTTTTTTTAAATTGGCACGTGTAAAACTTTCATTGTAATTTTCTCACCCCATAGTTTGAGTTCGATAACCCCATTTACTTAACCACATTACTTAAATATGATTATTAAGTTCAACTAATTCATATTATTAAAACAACTAAAATACAAATATGCATTTTTAAAATTAATTGTAAGTTCATCTCATCTCTCTTAAAAATTGCTACTTCTCAAAATTTCCCATTAAAAAATAGACCATATATCATATAAAATTAAATAATTGAAAGATCGGACTATGGAAAACCACACAAATTTTCGAAAAAAATTTTGACCACCTGCACATACACACAATCGTCATTAAATAAAATTAAAAAAAAACTACTATTTTAGTATTTTAAATATTTTAATGAACGCAAAAATAGCACAGTATTTATACGGCGAAGTTATAAAAATTTGGAAGAACTAATAATGCACTGACGCACACAAAAATCAATCGAATACTAAATTTCATTTATCAAAAGCATTCGATAGTCGTGGCTCAACGATAACCATTTAGCCGCACGGCGAGGTTGTCACATATGCTTTAGTATACAAATGAATGAATGATTTTATTCGAATAAAACCATTCGATAGTTGAAATCATTCATTCAGTAACCATTCGATAGTCTAATTCATTCGATAGTTCCCATCGCTAGTCTAAATCTGAAAAGATATCGGGAAATAAATCTGCCATTTTGAAACCCCTTCGTGGTCTCGTCAAGTTTGCCGATTTTTCCCTAGTATTTTTATTTAATGTTTAGATAACATTTTTGCTTTAAGAGTCTATTACGCTGTACTGTTCGGGTCGCTCTCAGGGGTCGAGTAAAGCGGGTATGTGGCCGAAGGAAATATATATTATTTTTCAGAAATCTGCTAAGGCTTAGGGCTCGAACACACTGACGACCAGGTCGCACCGGCCAGGCCGCAGCTACCTCTAAAACCATTAAATCAAATGATATAGCGCACACTAACGTCCTGGCCGTCCGACTGCACGGAAATATTATTTTCTGCCTCTTGTTGCCGCTTTTCTTCCAAGTTAATAATTTTTTAGATGAAATCCCTCAAATTCAAGGTACAATATTTTATTTTCTATAAGATATAGTGTTTTAGTGTAGTTTTTGCACACGTGCAGAAAATCCAAAGAAATAGTATATACAGACTGGATCAAAGGTAAACTTAAATCTAATCCCTTTTTTTTTATCAAGGGTCGATTCTAGTAAAAACTCAAAACATTTTTATATGACATACCTACTCTATTTATGGTTGGTATGATACCTGTTATTATGCCTTTGAGTTTCGATGTTTAAAAAATAAAAAAAATAATATTTAAAGTTTTTCTACAACCACTAGTTTTTTTTTATTAAATTAGTTTTTTAGTTGTAGTCATGTACAAGGAGGACAACTGTATTTTAAATATTATATTTAATTTAACGTTTTTCAAACAGGGTTCATTAGACTATATTTCTACTAAATACATTATTTTGAAAAAAAATTAAGAAAGTAACTTAAACATTCATAAAAATAGAAGTAATTACTGTTGTATTCTTCGTTATATTGTAAACATTGAAATAACTGGAAGCTAAACTTTCTATCTGCTTATATTTAGAGCCAGAGTCTGACGATCTTTTTTACGATGGCCCTAATATGTTTACTTCTAAAGTCGATAAGGGCGCCATATCAGTAGAAAAAAAGAAACAGAATATCTCCCTTTTTGTCGGTCGCGCGTACACAATGCTTTTGTTTGTTGTGAATAGCAACTTCGCTTTTTAGTTAACTCGGATATTTTAACATTTCTGAAACAATATTTTCTAATTGGTAAAACGTAAAAAATCGTTAGATTTGACAACTGTGTTGAAACTGGTCGTTCATCTGGCCGCAGCTAAAAACGCAATACATCCGGCCAGCCGACGGCCAGGTCGTTGCGACCTGGTCGTCAGTGAGTTCGAGCCCTTAGCCCGATCCTGTCGTGTTAAGCCACGCCTAAAATTCCAAACACACGTGCTTTGATTAAGGCTTGATTAAGGTTTGCAGAGCTTCAGCATTTGCCATAAAATAGCGAGCAATTTGTTACAAAACCGTATAAATTATATATCACTGTAATCACAAAACTTCAATCTATTTCCGTATTGTAACGGAATTTTAAATTATGTCTTTATTTTCGAGAAAATTTAGTCCCAACATAAGGAATATTTTGTTGATGTTTGACCCTCAAAATCTTAAAAATAAAGAAGTTGTTTAAAAATGTGCTACAATACGGATATAGTATAATCCTTTATCTTTAATTTCCTTCTTCATTTGTGTAAAAATACTTAGCCAGTTTTACGTAAAACGTTAAATGCCGAGCGCATATTTTGCTACTTTTTCGCACTAGTGAAATGGACTCTTAATGGTGCTAGATTTAGTGTGAATTTTTCCAAGAGAATTTTTGATTTTTAGGGTCTGTCGCGACGAAAGCTTTTCGAAGAAATTCTAAACGTGATAAAAACGAAATTGCCATGGCAACGGCTGTACAAGGAATACAGCGAGCAAATTAGAGATGTGAGTTAATGATAAATAAATAATATTTACAATTGTATTGAGAGGGAAGTTGTGTGATTTTTTATATTGATTTTACGAATTCTCCTGTAATTTGTAAGGAAGTATATCGTAGGCATGTCGCAAATTAATTTTAAGTGGCTAAAGTGATAAAAACCGAAAATAAAATAATCGATTATTTGTATAAAAATACAGAATGTTGTTGTTTTAATGTCCTTTTCTGATGTTTGATTGAAACATTTTAGATTACCAGAGTAATTCACAAAACGAAATATCGGAAAATCTACCTATATCGATATTTTTCAAAAAAGCCCATCCTTAATTTAGAGATTTTTAATTGTATTTAGTAATGTGTATTAATATCTATAAGTCTTGAAAGTATCGATAAAACTATACGACATCGATATTTTTTTTAAGAATGCCCATTTTTAATACAGAATTGTTTTGAAAACTAATATATTGCTGTTCTTTAATAAGCTCCAACTGCAATGAGTATAGATTATTTATCGATTTTATTATATTTTTATTTATATATTACTCATTTACTTAGTTCACAAACACTAGCATAAACACCATCAATCCGAATAATAACAATATCGATTTATTTTCAATGTGTCGATATAATTAAGATTTGTCGATATTTTTTTTAAAAATGCACATCCTTATCGCAATGGCGAATTTTTTTTTCGCTTAGATGGCCGAAAATTATTGTTATCCAATTAAGTATCCAATACCCTTGATCCAATACAGTTTTTCAAAATAATAGAAACCGTTTTTTAGTCATTTGTTTTTATTAAATGTCAAATTTAACAGATACCCGAGTGGAAAATTTAAAAAAAACAGTTTTTAAATAAAGTGTTTTCAAAATTCGATCTTTAAATCGAGTATTCAGCTATTTATTACTTTAAATGTCAAATTTAATAGATATCTGAGAGCAACAAGTTAAATAAATCCAATTTAAAGCAAAAAATATCGTTAAAATCAAATTTCAATTAAGGTAAATAAAAAAAGTATCGAAATTGCATAAAAACACCCCTCCCTAAGTTAGGGTCTATTTGCATTTCGGAAAAATCTTTGGTGTATTACTGGTCGCCTATATACAATCCCGTAAACGCGTCCTGCAACCTACAATAAATTATTTATCGATCCAAGCAGGATCCAAGGCTATAACCTCTCCTGTCACAAACAGAGAAACAAACAAACGTCGACGCGTCTCATATCCAACTGGATACGTGTTCTATTTATATTTTAGCAAACAATAAACGGATAAAAACACAATTTATTCGGTAGCGATGCAACGAGACGTATTATTTTCGCGTAGTAGCCCGTCCACCGTTTAATTCGCACCGTGTTTTTTTTTAAACACCGACACGATAAATGCGTTCGATTGGTTGTACATCGAAAAAAAGCCGGCTCTGATAACTTTTGGACTAATGACCCTCCAACTCGACGCATAGTATTTATTCTCCTGCAGTGGTCAGTCCAAGACCGACATCGTAACAGTCAGCGGGTTTATTCAAACAGGACCGGAACCGGAACCATCACACGAACCCTCTGAAAACCCTCTGGATCAGCTCTCTATTGGTCGGGACCCCCAGCAGACATCTCTCTAACCAATCGGCGATGTCGTTGAGGTTTTTATCTAATACGGAACGCGTCGCGTTGATGGGTTGTTGCGCTGGTAGACGCTCCTCCTCAGTCGCTTACGTAAAGTCGCTGGGTGATTTCCTGCTAACGCGAATCGTTAGCAGCAAAGCGGCGAGCCATCATCAGCAGCGGAAAAACTTCGCCAAGGAGGCGGCTCGAGGAAGCATGGCTTCGTATCAGCCCTGCTTGTCCATGGAGACGCTTAATCCCAACATCATAGCGTTGGAATATGCTGTCAGAGGTCCGTTGGTCATTCGGGCAGGAGAAATTGAAAAAGAACTGGAAAAGGTAGGTTTATAATATTATGGGTCGATATAATACAAGATTTAATAAATGCCAGAATAAATAATGCTGCTTTCGGGGTTGATATAATTTGTTTTTAGTTTAGTTTTAGTTAATTCGCGCTGTTTAAAATAATGTTTGTATCTATTGCGTTAATATTTATGAGGAAGTGGCAGTTTTATGGTAATCTCTATTATTGTTTGATTTGTCACGGGATGTAGCTAACACATGATTTTTATTCACGATTGTGTTTATAAACAAAGCAGCATTATTACCTGTAAATGATTAATTAAATTAACAATATAAATGATACCTATGTTACTTAAATACCAAATTAGTTTTTCTTTGATTTTATGGAGATTTGAATGAACGATTTTCTTTATAAAATTTGCGTTTTTCTACAATTTAACAAAAATATATTTTTTTTCCTAGTATAACAATAAGGATATAACTTGCATAACCAAAACACTAATAATATGTATTACTTAACTAGAATTTAATTTAATTAAATTAAAATCTTTCTGAACTTTTCATAAAAAAATAACACAATATAGACGTTGCTTTAAAAAAAATATTTTTTCTTAAAAAAGTAATTTAAACTTAATTTTTCTTAAAGTCTAAAGTTTGTCATGTATACAGGGTGTTTCAAAAAACATGTGCCATCTCTCGTGGGGAGATTCCTCACGTAAAAATAAGATTTATTTTTCGTATCAACATAGGTCCGATTTTGCATTGTTTCGTAGCTACAGGGTGTTTTAATATTTTTTTGATTTATTATAATTTTCTTCCAAGTACTTTAGCGTTTCGAATGAAATTTTGAGGGTAAAAGGTACTTAAAAGCTACATATTTTAAAGCTAAAAAAGTGTCGACATATTCACCAGGGATGTGCATATGGGTTATCACTGGAATATTTTTTCTAAAAAAAGCATGTACGCCACTGATTTTTCTTTCTCTTGTTGGCGAAATAGCGTAAGCAGTTTAATGCCGATTAAAAGTTGTCTCTTGATATTTTGTCGATTTCGGCCTCCTTGATGAGATAAACGCAATTATATTAGAATATGTAGGGTTTTTTTGGCCCCTTTTTCTGCTTCTTGTATTTTGTTTGTTTATTTTAATTTGCCTTGATCCAAGAATAGGAACCATTAAAAAATTTTAATATCATTAACTTGCGAACGTTTTAAATAGGTACTCATTGATTACTTATCGAAAAATATAAAAAAAATCCTATAAATGTATGGAAATGCATAGTTTTAGAGTTACAGGATGTTAAAAAAGTTTTAATTTTAAAAAGTAAAATTAGGTTTTTTTTAATTATCTTAAATACCATTATTTTTTATTTGCAATTGCTGTATGTTGGACTAATAGTAATAATATTTAATAAATTAGGTAAAATATATAATTTATTAATTTTATTAATTGTGATTAGTAAAATTGCGTTCATCTTATCAAGGAGGCCGAATTCGACAAAATATCAAGAGGTAACTTTTAATTGGCATTAAACGGCCTACTCAATTTTGATATCGAAAGAAAAAAGTCAGTGGCGCACATGTTTTTTTTTGAAAAATATTCCAGTGATAGCCCATATACACGTCTCTGATAAATTTATCGACACAATATGGTAGCACTTACAGTAACTTTTACCCTTAAAATTTCATTCTAATCGCTAAAAGTACTTGTTTATATAGGTTGCAAGAAAAGTATGATAAATCGAAAGAGTATTATTAACACCCTGTAGCTACGAAACAAAGCAGAATCGGACCTATGACCTATGTTGATATGAAAAATAAATCTTGTTTTTACGAAAGGAATATCCCCACCAGAGATGGCACATGTTTTTTGAAACACCCTGTATAGTAAGCCATGTATAATCCTGTGGGTATTATGATAGAAAAAAAACAGCGTTCAGTTGGCTTGGAAATGACGATCAATGGCATTCCCCATATAATTTGGCATATAAAAGACGGCGATCTTTATTTCAAAGCCATCGCTGACGCCGTTTTTTTTCTCGATCATATTGTAATAAGCAATGTTTGCTATTTGTAGAAACATGAAACGTGTGTGTGTACATTATGAATGCCCTTTTTTTATTAAATAAACTATTTTGATACTGTTAATGTTCAATTTATATAAACTAAATTATATCCTGAATTAAAAAATGGGTTTAAATGAGTCCCTTTATTTTTCTACCACACGACAAAAATTATTTTTTTTTAAATACAGAAGCCTTGAAAATACTTTCACAGGTTCATACTAAACACAGCTGTTTCTGTTGAGACGTGGTTTTGTCATGGAAAAAATTGATATCCTACTCAACCTAGCAGACCTTCAAATCGTAAATACCCTTGACATTGACAAAAAATGATTAATCAGTTTTTTTTAAGTCAACTAACTTTTAGGTATTTTTAAAATTCATTTTCAGATTCAAATTTTTAAAGATATTTTAATACTCATACAGGGTGTTTCAATTTGCAGGAATTTAATTTCCTTTTACCGGGTGCGTCTCGAAAGTGGCTCTTGGGCTCACCCCTATAACTGTTTTTAATTTTTTAGTTGTTTTCGGTCACTTCTTGTTTCACCGGAAATGACTATAACTCTTGATTTTTAAATGGTACCCTCGGTATCTTTTTACTTTATTCGATAGAAATGACACTCTGAATAGACGCTGGCAGTGAGTTCTACTGTTCAGTCCTAATAAATATCGAACTGCTCTCTTTTGAAGTCTGAAAATACGATAAAATTTTGTTGCGCAGCAAGTACCCCAGAACGGAAGGGCATAACGAAGATGTGACTCAAAAAGGGCATAATAGGCTATTCTAGAGGTTGAGAAGTTAAGTTCCTTAGAAACTGATCTTAGCGCAAAACAGGCAGCGCTTAGTTTCTTTGATAGAGCTTCGATGTGAAAGTCCCATTTTAACGAGTTGTCCACAACAAGTCCTAAGAATTTCACAGAGTCCACGACGTCAATAGTGGTGTTATTAAGTACAAAAGGTTGTAGTACTTTTATATGACAAAACTTTAGTTTTTGATAGGTTGAGGCATAGGAGATTGGAATCGCACCAAGATTTAATGGTGCCGTCGTAACATCTGGGCCGCTCCACGTGAAACTAGTATCGTCCGCAAAGAGGCAGATTTTAGCGCTAATGTCTAGATTTGCAATGTCGTTGATAAACACCAGAAACAAAATAGGGTCAAGTACTGAACCCTGAGGGACACCACATTCTATAGGCTTACAAGAAGACATAGACGAATGAAGCCTCACAAGCTGCCTTCTGTTGCCAAGATATGACTTAAGCCATTCGGTTTAATGATCATAATATTTTTTCATGTCTAGACTTCTTTAATTTTGAATTATACTATAAAAATAAAAATAAAACTGAAAAAGAGCTAAAAATTTAGGTGAGTTATTTTGATTCGACACCAAATCGATCCCCTGAGTGCGAGTCAAAAAATCCGCGGGCGCAGATTTCCCATATTAATCCTTTCAGAAAAAAACCTGTAAAATCGTGGTGCAGCGTGAGGTAGATCTCGGTAAAAAATCCATATAAATAAGAGAATATTACGTGTCCATTTTATTTTTAATCGATCATGAACCCGAATGAATGTCACAATCCTTTATATTTAGCAATAGGTTTATTTTAATTGATAAAACAATGTAGGCAATGGAAAAATTACTCAATAATATTTAGTATCGCCAAAAAGAAATGAATGGGATAATCAACTTGTTAATTTACGTATTCAAATTTGTTGTTAATTATTAGATTATATATTATCTAATTAAATAATAGCAAATTATTCTTTTAAACGAGTTGGACTTTGAATAAAACGATTTTTTTTTGTTTTAAATTTGATAAAACGTATATTTTTGATATCGAGCAGAAACAAAATGTACAAATTGTGATTTTATACAGAGTAATGTATTACGTAAAATGTACTAGCAATGTCGACGGAATACTGGGACACTGTATTATTAAGTAACATCTAGTATGCGGTAGATTCTTCTATTTATCAGCAAAAATGAACTTTTATAACCAAGCTAAATATAAAAGTTCATGACATTCAGGTTTGAGATGTTCTAAAAATACCATCAAACAATATGAATAGGTATCTTTGAGAATAGATATTTATACATTTTTTTTCAAATTTTATTTGAAGTTACTTTATGGATTTTCTGAATAAGTACCCAAAGAAATCTTAATATATTTTTGATTACCATCTAAAATCTCTTCAAATTTCACCTTGAAATAAAATTGAAGTCACCGTTCACCTTTTAAATAGTTGTTCCTATGTGGTCTAACTTTACTCCGCTACTTCAGATTTGTTCCTTTTAGATACATATATACGTCAGAATGAAACCTAGAAATGTGAAGTGTGTAAGATAAGACAAAAGATTCCTCTCTACATAAAATCACTTGAGGAGACTTTTTGAATCATTTTTACAAAAAAGAATTAATAGATGTACTGAAAATATACAGGGTGTCTCAAATTCGAGACTTATCGTTGAGGTCTCGGAAATTCTTTGAATAAGAAGACTAAGGAAGGAGCATATCAAAAATCTTAGGTACACCGCGATGGGCCTCAAATATGGCCGACTTAAATTCCGGTTTATCAGTGTCGTTCTAATTTTATTTAAAAAATGTAAAACTATGATGTAGGGTAGACGTGGGGTAGACTCAATAATTTGTTGTTTTATTTTACGTTGTGAATAAATATTGGTAGTTATTAAAATTGTTATAAAATATATAATTCTATTAAAAATAGATAAGTTATAATAAGTATTTATTAACACAAACATCCGATACGCTACTGAAGCAGGTAAGTCAAATTAACGTATCTAAATTCTTTGACATCTAATCTTTGACAAGTAATAAATAAAAGCTAAAATGCAAGAAAAATATATAATTTAGTTAATTTAAGTGAATTTCATAAATGATTGGTTTACTACACGTATGTATATTATACATATAGTCACTTACTAGCGAAAAGTTGTTCCATTATTTCACTCAAT